GTTGTGTGGGTGAAAGTGATGTGACAGCTATAAGTGTGTTTACATGGCTGATGAAGTTGAATTATAATTTTGCAGTTTTCAGTGCACGCGTACATACATTATGTGCCTGACGACAAAATCATTTCAATGCGCGCATAATTATCTGCGTGCGTTACTCGTAAAAAAAAACAGTCGTAGAAAATTGCTTTGGACATAGCGACGAGTCACATTTGCACCCTTTTACGCCAAAACAGTATGTCGTGGAACTATGCCAAAAAACAATCATGACAATTACTTCTAGTGGCAATATACATGGCGCTGTCCCAAAGTCAATAAAACATAGTAATGTCTACCTTGTTTTAAGACTTGTTACTATGGAGGTTCAAAAGTGGACATCTGCTTTTCTGCTATAGCAGAAAAAAAAAGATTGAACGTTTTGCTAAAATGCATTTTTCTTCTTTTCTGCTTTTCTGCTACCAGAAAAGCAGGTTTTACTTTCGAATGTTTTTGTCACGGTGGATCGAAAGTGGCCATCTGCTTTTCTGCTACAGAAACTGAGCAGATTGGCTCCCAAACGCAAACTACGCCACTGTAGTACCCACCAAAAAATGGACGATTCCAAGACTCCGCCTCCTAAGTCATCACAGCTAGTGTATTCCCGAATTTCCGTCCAATCCACAGACCGATTCACTCGCGTAGCCAGGCAATGAAGACTTTCTCATGCTTCACATTGGAGATTGACCATATGACCACCATATGGAGCTTGGCCCCCGTTGTGCCCCCTGGATCCGCCGTTGCCCCCCCCCCCCCCCCACGGATTTACGCCTCTGTCTTAGTAATTTCCCGGTAATTTTATTTAAATTAAAAAATTAAAAGTAGCCATTGGTAAAATTCCCTTAAAAATGGAAGCACGGATACGCAATATTTTTTTGTTTCAATTTTAGTTTATCAGTTTTTATTGTATAAAAGAAATCTAAAAACAGAACCAACCAACAAACAAAACAGCGAGGTTCTAAGCCTGTACCGACCAGCGGCGTATAGCCGGTTCTGACAGGAAGATGTTCCAGTTGGCTTCGTCCAATTTCTGTTAAGCCCGTTAACCATGGTGAACATAATTTATTTCCGGTGTGGGGTAGAGGGCCCACAGGGGGCCGACGTGGGTGGGAGGCGTGACTTTTTCCCTTTTGTGTGAGCAAACTTTTTTTCTGCAGAGTTACGTATCCTATCCTGAGCTCCAAGGGTGTCAAGCAGTGTGAAGCTTGAGAAAGTCCTCATTGCCCGGTCGGCTACGCGCTTAAAACGGTCCGTGGATTGGACGGAGATTCGGGCATCAGCTGCGATGTTGTAATGACAGAGTTGGAGTCACTGGGAACAGTCCATTTTGTGGTGGGTACTAGAGTAACATAGTTGCGCTCAGGAATGTACAATCTGCTCAGTTAAACAGAAAAGCAATATGGGCACTTTTGAACCACCGTGACAAAAAGTTCGATCTACTTTTCTGTTAGCAGAAAAGCATAAAAGTAGCAAATGAACTTTAGCAAAACATTCAATCTGCTTTTCTGGTAGCAGAAAAGCAGAAAAATGCATTTTAAACAAAACGTTCAATCGGCTTTTCTGCTATTCTGTCCACTTTTGAACTCAATAATGCAGGTAACATTTTAGCCCGTTGAAACATCCCTTTGAGAAAACCGAACCCCACAATTCAGGCCATATCGGTGTTTCTGTCGCGTTGCACGGACGTCGCGACAACGTTGTACCAACGTCATGTGCGGCTTTTCCGAGACACGTAAATGGAATCATTTGTAATCCTAAAAACACTGCACAAGCGACTACTCGCCATCATGATAGAAACAATGAATCAGAGCAAATTGTTGGCTGCCCTGAGCACTTCACCAAGCGCAATTGTTATGAACCTCGTAAACACTTTTTTGTACTTGACCCGCACTGCATTGTTCTGTATTCATTTGCCTTCCAGAAGTATCAGCATTGTACCGGTTGACCGTCTTATATCGGCACACGGCGCTGTTTTCAGGTTCGATAACGCCCTGTGAGCGGTCCACACATTGCGCCGCATCAACCCCTTCAGTGAACGCGGTCTGAGGGAATTTTGTGGCCCGTGCGGTGCTATCCCCTCAACTTTAGAAAACAGCACTGTCGCCTCAGCATTACACGCACTACATTTCAGGCCATATGGGTGTTTCTGTAACGCTGCACCGATGTTGGGCCAGCTTTGGGTCAGCATCAAAACGGAATCGCTGAGACTTTTGGAAACTCGTAAATGGAATCATTTGTAATAATACACCTCAACCGACATCAACTTCCGGTTAATCAATCATGGGTAAAGACAAACACGGGAGTCTGTGACTAGACTAGACAGTGTTCGGTACGAAGACCTAGACAATAGCTGTAGACAAGAGGTTTATTTGGACCATAGAGCTAATTACTAGAGCGCTAACTCGATGTACAAAGTAATGCCTGATGGGCGCATCCATGTTTGTGCATAAACCTATGGAAAACACGAAATTTTGTACGGCTTTTGTACGGCTATTTGCATATCTGCGTTTGTATTCCATACCGGTGCGTCATCGAAGCAAATACGCCCTAAACCGAAACGCACGATCAGCAAATGAGCGTTTCATTTTGCTCTGCGCATCAGCGCAACGTGTGCGCGTCCCTCCGCTGCAGATGCTTTTCGCCGTGACGTTTTTAGAACCGTCATGACGCGCTTAAGATGTTTGCGAATATTCTACTTGCGCGTTGCATTTAGAGTACACTTTTAAAATTCAATCCATCTTTTTCGATTGTGTTCTACAAACACGCGCATAAATTCAAAATGTCTGCACCCAGAGCGGCTTCAAAGCGTCTCCGCGCGCAAGAATGAGGAGTTAGCACTCTAGTAATTTAATATAGCCTTAATTGTTGGTTGTGACAAACTCCAAATTTTGTCGGTAGTCGTAGAAATGTGTGGGTTTGAGTCATATGGGGGAGTGTGGCCTAGTGGTTAGGGTTTGTGACTAATGATCAGAGGGTCAAGGTTTCAAATCGTGCTGCTGGTCGTGCTTTGTATCCTTCGGGAAGCCACCTCAATCCCACTTGCCTCTAAGTAATAATAGGAGCAACATTTGTCTGTACGAAATAATGGGTTGACAATCACTTGTGTACTAAAATCCCTAAACTGTGGAGTCGGTCTGAGGCCAAGGGCAAACAAGTCTTGTTTCTTATTACCCCACCCAACCTAGAAAATTATGTTCAACCTATTATGTTTGTAAAGCAAAATCAAAAAGTAAACAAAAGTTGTGGTGTTGCCCCACCCTACTTTTTTGCAGACAAGGTGCTGCAATTTTAACTTTATATTTATTTTTGTGCAAGTTGGTCAGTAGTGCAGAATGATTCGTATATTAACAAATGCATGCAAAATAGAGAAAACGGCAAAATTTAACGACTATCATTGTTGCGACTTTAATATTTCAATAGCGCCACCATGCGGACTAATGCAGCGAACCGACATAGCAACCGCGGGAATCGAAAGGCATTGGGCTGGTTACGGATGAACGATCTCCACCATGATCAGTCTCTCCACCGGCCTAATTTTCCCCACTTGTTTTCGACTGAGGATGATGGGACATTTGAATTTGAAATAAAACAGGATTAATCCCGCCTGCCCAGCCAGTGCTCACAGAACACACAATCTAAGGACTCCCCTTGTGTCCTTATTTTTCCTTTACAAATGGTGACCCTGACGTGATAGGAATCAAGCTTGAGCACAAAAGGGCATACAAATAAAAACAAGTAGCAGAATGGACGGCAACGTAGAAAAACGAGTCCTCAGACCTAGAGGAACAGCTCCAAAACCACCCACTGAGGGTCCTTCAGAATCAACGGACAAACTACCCGCAATAGCTGAGTCTGCAATACTTCAGTCAGAGCACTCTACATGCAGCTCAATTGCATCAGAGCGAAGCCGCAGTAGTAGCCACTCGTCTGTTCGAATGCGTGCTGTGGAAAAGCAGCAGGAGTATGAAGCCGCCAAGCGACGACTCGAGCTGGAAAGAGCCACGATGGCCCAGAGCAAAGAGTTGGACGAGCGACTACTGGCAGCACAGCGAACAAGAGAGGAGCTGGCACTGCGTGAAAGACAAATGGAATTGGCCCAGGCACGGCTGGTCGCCGAACATGAAGAAAGCCGCATCCTGAAGGAAAAGGAACAATTTGCTCGACAGATTGAGCTCGAGAGACAATTACAAACTGCTGAACTCAATTTTAATCTGGCTAGGGTAGAATCCGAATTTGTACAAACTAGCATGAGTGACACACCTTTGTATTCACAATCACATGATTTGCCAAATATTACTAGTGTTGTAAGCCATTCTTTAAATACACCCTCCACCAGTGTTCCGAGCTTGCTGGTAGCGGAAAACCCGGCGGCGCTCCAGGCCATAAATCCAATAGGCCTACCTGCTGCACACTCATCAGCTGCGAGTCTGGTACAGTTAAGCCCAAAATGCGTGCACTAAGCCGCGAACTACTCGCAACCTGTTGCGAACTTCGCGCAACCAGACGCGAGCTTCGCGCAACCAGTCGAAAGTCTCGTGCCACCAGCCGCGAGCTTCGCGCAACCAGTCGCGAGTCTCGCGCAACAAGCCGCGAGCTACGCGCAACCCGTCGCGAGCTTCGCGCAAATCACGCAACCAGCCACGAGCTTTGCGCAACCAGCAGCGAGCTTCGCGCAACCAGGCACAAGTCTCGTGCAACCCGTCGCGAGCTTCGCGCAACCAGTCGCAAGTCTCGTGCAACCCGTCGCGACCTTCGCTCAATCCGTCGCGAGCTTCGCGCAACCAGCCGCGAGCTTCGCGCAATTCGCGCAACCGTCCGCGAGTTTCGCGCATCCCGTCGCGAGGCAAACGCACCTTTCCGCGAGCCATGCACGCCCTCTCGCGAGTCCCCTCGCGAAAGCGGGTCACACGCAAACCGCTGCGAGTTCCGCGCTCGCCTGGTCTGAGCCCTCTGCTCAGTGTCGCATGATGCCCGGCAGCTTGGCACCTGATCACAACTTCACTGCCTTTCAGCCAAGTATGGCACCGTACCACGCTGGTATTCATAATCTTTACCATGAAACTTCTCCCACTTTGGGGACAAACCCCACTCCTACTCAGGTTTCTGCCTCTACTGCTAGGGTTTCTGATTTTTCCGAACCGCCTACTTTCAATTCCTCAAGCCAAATGATGTTAAGCTCCATGTTGGCAGCCTCAGCCGGAGGTATAAACACGGAGGTTCCCAACTTCGGGGGAGGCGACCCAGCAGAGTTTCGTTGTTTTGAGGCCATGATAGATGGCTGCATCAAGCCCTTAGTCCACCTCAGCGAGCTACAAAAATACTTCATCGTCAGGTCTAAGTTAAGTGGTCAACCCAAGAAGGATGTCCTCGGGCTTGAGCATGATGGTAGCCCCTTCACTAAGGCAATGTCCACCCTCAAGAAGCTTTATGGTGATGTTGGTGTCCTAATACGTGCCAAGATTGACCAGATTACGTCGTGGCCGAGACTGACAGCCAGTGACTCCAAGGGGATGGTAGAGTTTGCAGCAGCGGTGTCAGCGTTGGTCAAGCAACTCAAGAGTGCACCGGAAGGCCAGGCGGAACTGAATGCCAACTCTACAGCTTGCATCCTGTACAGTCGCCTGTCACATACCCATCAGACGGCCTTTTTGAAGGCTATGAAGGCCAGAAATGTCAACAACTTTTCTCTGCTTGACATCGACATGTGGCTGCAAGACACGGCGGCCATAGCCAGAAAGAAGGTGCAGCTCAGCGAGAGTATTAAGGTTGAACTCCCCCCAACCAACCGGGACCGTCGCAGAAAAGGTGCAGCTGCCTACCACATGGAACTGGCTGGAAAGACTACCAGCAATCCGCCAAAGGGCGCATCTGCCTATAAGGCTACCCGAAGTGAGGGCAAGAAACCCTTCCGGAAGAGTTGTCCCCACTGCCGGGAAGAACACTGGCTCTCTCGATGCGACAAATTCAGCGATCTCACGATGGAACAGCGCATGAAGTGGATTAAGGCTGACAAACGCTGCTGGCAGTGTGCACGCCTGCACAAAAACGGAAAGGAGTGCGACCTACGCAAGCCTTGTCGCCGATGCGACAAGATGCACCTGACCGTTCTCCATGATCTGATAGAGCAACCAGGGTATGGAGTGTACTATTCCTCCTTCGACCCAAACCTGTCTGTCTTTTACGGGGATGGAAACCCTTGGCTACCTGACGTCAGCATGAAGATTTTGCCAGTCACGCTCTATGCCAACGGTCGACAGCTGGAGACGTACTGCTTGTTGGACGATGCTGCCAACTTCTCCTTGATGCTTAGCGAAGCTTCCGAGGCACTTGGCCTCAAGGGTGAGAGCACCAAGATGCCAATTGCAACCGCCAGGGAGGAATGTACCCCCTGCAAGGGCGTGATAGTCTCGGTCGATCTTGCACACATCCACGACCAAGATTCACGCATCACCATTTCCAATGTCTTTTCGTCTTCCATGTTGAGGCTTTCAGAGCATTCTGTTCCTGCACGAGATTTGCAAAGGAGGTGGCCGCATCTGCGGGGTCTTCCACTGCAGGAAGTCAAGGAGGCACGGCCATTATTGCTGATCGGCAGTGATCGCCCAGATCTGATTGTTCCCATTGAGAGTCATTTTGGTCCCGAAGGTGCACCAGTGGCTGTGCGCACCAAACTTGCGTGGGCTGTCCAGGGCCCCATTCTGAAGTCCAGGCGCAAGAATGAAGTAAACTTCTTGTCTGTACTACCACCCATGGAAGCCGACAGAGTTCTCCACGAGAATGTTTGTAAGATGTGGCAGCACGATGCGCAGATGTATCTTGATCGAAAACAAGCCACTCGATCCAAGCAGGACCAGCGAGCAATTGATCTCCTTGAGGCAAAATCTACCTATGTAAATGTAGATGGAATTGACCGTGTCGCAACCCCCCTCCTGTGGAGACGTGACAACGAGGTACTTACCTGTCCGGCAAGTGCAGTGTCACCTGCTCTGAAACGGAATGAGCAACGTCTCCAGAGAGATCCAGCACTCGCTGTTGAGCACTCCAAGAAAATCCGGGAACTGAAGGAGGCAGGACTCGTCCGCATGCTCACTGCTGAGGAGAAAGAGAGAAACCCCGAGCGGCATTGGTATATACCCCACCATGTTGTTCGGCAGAATGGGAAGACAAGACTGGTTTTCAACTGTGCCTTCCCGTACCGGGGAGAATCTCTGAACGACCACTTGCTTCCTGGGCCTACCCTGGGTTCACCGCTGGTTGGAGTGCTAGTACGATTCAGACAGCATCAAGTAGCTGTGTCCGGTGACATCAAAGCGATGTTTCACTGTGTGCGCACTTTAGAGTGCGACCGATGCATGCTTCGGTTCCTGTGGAGGGATTTGGACCCTGATGCCGAAATGGAGGAACTCGAGTGGAACGTACTCCCCTTTGGCACCACATGCAGTCCATGCTGTGCCACTTTCGCCCTGCATAAGCATGTGCAGGACCGGTTTCCAGATCCAGACATTGTCAGAAGTGTTATGAATTCATTCTACGTTGACAACTGCCTAGATGGCAAGTCCAGTGTCCTAGAAGCGAAAGCCCTAGTTGGAAAACTATGTCAAGCGCTCGGCGCTGGAGGATTTCCCATTGTGAAATGGGCCAGCAACTTTGCAGAAGTGGTCAAAGACCTTCCACAGGAAGCCCGCTCCTGCAGTACTGAGAGATGGCTGAGTTCAAGTTGTGATTCACCTGAGGAAGCAGCCTTAGGACCCCACTGGAATTTCCAGCACGACACACTCCGTTACAAACTCGAACTTCGTGAGTGGCCGGTCCTCACTCGAAGAGCTGTTCTAAGTGATGTGATGAGATGTGCCGGGAAGGACCCCCTTGGTTACCCCATGCCATATATGGTGAGGGGAAAGATGCTTGTTCAGGAGCTTTGGAAGAGACCATGGGGCTTGGATGAGGAGATCCCCGACGAGGGCAGGATGGCTTACGTGCCCAACACATGAGATGGCGCAAAGAAATCAATGATCTCCCTCTTGTATACCTGCCTCGGTGCTACCTTCCCCCACACTTTGATCCAGCAAATGTGTCCTATCAACTGCACGTGTTCACCGACGCTTCCGAAAGGGCCATGGGTCCGTTGCTTATCTTCGAGCCATTGCTAAGTCAGGAGAGGTGTGTGTCAGGTTTGTCATGGCACGTTCCCGTTTGGCACCAAAGCGTGTGCAAACTATTCCCCGATTGGAACTTCAGGCTGCTCTTTCTGGTGCTGAACTGACCGAGCTTCTCGAGGATGAGTTGAGGTTGAGCCTTTCCGTCACTTGTTGGAGTGACAGCACGACAGTTTTGAGCTGGATTACCTCAGAATCTTGTCGGTACAACCGTTTTGTCGGTGCCCGCATCGCTGAGATTCAAAGACTCACAGACCACACTATCTGGCGGTATGTAGACACCGCCAAGAACCCTGCAGATGACCTGACCCGTGGATTGATGCTCAGCGAGTTGACCACGGAGAGTCGGTGGTCTGCTCCACCCTTCCTCTCTGGTCCTGAAGAGGATTGGCCAAGCTTGCCATCGCACATGCAGCAGGATGATGGCGAAGTTGAGCTGAAGGGCAGTCTTTTTACTGCTTTTACCCTCGGCAATCGAGGAGAGGTTCCAGAGATTGAAGCGTCTCAGTTTGCTTCCTGGGATGACCTGGTTGAGGCATATGGACGCATTCTGTGCGAGGCTGAGGATGAAACTAAGCCAGATTTCCTCAGCGCTGACCAACGGATGGAGACTGAACAAGCCCTCTACGGAAAGGTACAAGCTGAAAGCTTTCCAGATGATCTTGTACGCCACCCTGGGTGATCGGTCAGTTAACGCTCCCGTTCTCTATACTTGCCTGGTTGAGGTAGAAGCCTTGCTGAATTCTAAGCCATTGACTTATGTGTCATCAGACATTGCTGATCCAGATCCCATCACACCTTTCATGCTTCTCATGGGGCGGCGGGACCATGCCCCGCCACAGGTTGTCTACCCGGAGCGCGACGTGCTTAGTCGGCGACGCTGGCGCCAGTGCCAAGCCCTGATTCAGAAATTTTGGAAGGAGTTTGTTCAGTCCTCTGTCAGCCATGCAAGCCCGCCAGAAGTGGCGCAGTGAGACCGACAACCTGTCCGTCGGTGATGTAGTTCTGATGGCTGATCCGCAGCAACGACGTGCCTCTTGGCCTCTGGCCAAGGTCACTGAGGTACTACCTGGTACTGATAATCGGGTTCGCACCGTAAGGGTGCAGGTCGGAGATCGCATCTACACCCGGCCAGTGGCACGCCTGATCCGGCTTCCTTCTGAAACAGCCCTTGGCGGCAATCCTGAAGCTGCCACTCTGCCTGAGCCTGATGAAACCTAGTCCTTGTTACCGCAGAGTACACCCCCAGTGACCATTAATGGCGCGGCCTCTTGGTCAAGCCTGTTGTTACTTGTTACTATTTCTTACTAACCAGTTACTGATTCTTAACTTTACCTGTTAACTTCCACCATCTGTGCACCCATGCTAAAGCCAGCGATATGTAAACTATTGCGCACAGTTTAGGGGCGGCTATGTTGCGACTTTAATATTTCAATAGCGCCACCATGCGGACTAATGCAGCGAACCGACATAGCAACCGCGGGAATCGAAAGGCATTGGGCTGGTTACGGATGAACGATCTCCACCATGATCAGTCTCTTCACCGGCCTAATTTTCCCCACTTGTTTTCGACTGAGGATGATGGGACATTTGAATTTGAAATAAAACAGGATTAATCCCGCCTGCCCAGCCAGTGCTCACAGAACACACAATCTAAGGACTCCCCTTGTGTCCTTATTTTTCCTTTAATCATCCTACTCTATTTTTGGGCTAAACAAATGTCAAATCCATAAAAACAGATTTTTACCTACCCACACACGCAGTTTTTTTTAAAATATATTTTTTACATGTAATAGAAAACACCACACTTTTTTTCTTGATTTGCCTTAATATATGTTTCAGTGCCCAATTCATTTCATGGAGCCTTTCAGAGATCTCTCAGGTTATTCTGGATGGCTGCATGACCAAGCAAACAAATGCTTTGTGTCAAAGGGAAATAATGGTCTGTATCAATGTTTGTGAATACCCCCGACCCGGCCTGACCCTGCTCATCACTCACCTTATGTCCATGAAATCCAACTGGGAGAAATGCAAGCTACGCGTCTTTGCCACCATGGGCAAGAAGGAGCAAATGGACAGGGAGAAGATGAACATGGCCAACATGTTCAGCAAGTTCCGCATCAACTGCTCGGACGTGGAGGTCATCCTGGACCTGAGCAAGAAACCCAAGGAGGAGAGCCTGAGACGGTTCAAGGAGCTGTCCAAACCCTGGATGCTGGATGATGAAGCAGACCACGGAGAAGTTTGCTTGGAAGATCAGAAAGGAAGAACTCACTACGCTCAAGGAGAAGTAGAATCTCCTTCTTTCGCTCAAGCACCCCCCCCCCCCTCCACAGAGAAACTATAAACGAGGGCCATTTTGGCGCCATCGTGGCTCATAAATGCTGGTACCAAATACACGATAACCAGCATGAGTGAACCAGCGAAGTGTCCCTCATTCCGGCTTCTGTTTGTTTGACTATAAAGCGCCCTCTCTGTCCATGCAGGGAGACAATACACTTAAAGCTCTTCCCAGTATCCACTTTACGTTTAGTCCCTGGTTTTTGTGATTTTAAGTCCAGTCTATCTGTTAATTGTGTCAAACCTTGGACATTCTTGTGGGTGATTTTCAATAATGAGATTGATCACTTTCAATCCATTTTCCGTACGACTAGCAGTTCATTTGATTTGCCAAGTGCATGAAACTCGACTTTATTAAACATCAATAAATCACTCTATTTTTTCGCCTGAATTTCATACTTTCAATCACACATTTTTGCTGTAGTGTTGGGTTGCGCTCGGTCTGTATCTAAATGTGCGCATAATACGAATACTGTGGCGGATTGCTCACGAACCCAGTTACTTCCTCGGACCGGAGACTAACGAGCAGCCTCAAGGCAAATGGATGCAAGTTCGTTTTTGTTGAAATATACCGCCTAAGGAATTGATTGGCTAACTCTGCTCAATAAGTCAAATAAACACAACAGGACACCTGATTTCGGACCACAATGATTTAAATATGGTTTATTGAATCAACAATTGTCTTATGAATGATTGATAATTAAATGACCTGATTAAACTTCTTGGACTTGGGGAAACCTTTTATTATTAATTAAATTTGCTGTATGGCTTACTACCCGATGTGCAAGGCTGCCTTCCTCGCTGTTTGGCTTACTACAAGGCTTACAAACTACGACAGTCGTTAAGTGTATTATATAGGTTCTGAGGTAACAATTTAAGCTGCAGACGCTCAACGTGGCTTACATAGCTGCTGGGGTCGCTAGTCAGCCACACGGTAAGCACTTATGGAGAACCACCAAAATGACATCGTCACGCATGGTACATATTCAATTATGATAATTATTTTAGTGCCGTCATGTTTGAATATTCATAAGATAGGAGGGCTCGGTACACCATGAATGACACATGCATATACATGTACATGTACGTGTAGTGTTATGTGTATAAGTGTGTACATGTACATGTACGTATAGCAACATACATGTACGTAGGATGGTTGCTAGCAAGTACAAAATATGTAGGCCTTTTGGAAAGGAAACAAAATGACACTGTTTTTAAGTACATTCATTTCGATTGATTTGTCTTATTCTGCCCGTTTTAGCAGATTTGTTGGCTAAATCTGACACTTTTTTCTGAAGTTTTGTCAATGAATGAATTATCGACTGAATGTTCCGAAAAATGTAATGATGTCATGATGACGTCATCAACTATCAAATTACAAAATACAAGCAATTCAAATTTAATATTTTTAATCTTTGAAAATCAATTATAAATCAACCGCACGATTCCTGAACTTGATCTTTTTGGAAATGATAGAGTGATGATCAGCCTTACCAGATCTCAAGTTTCAGTTAGTTAAATCTTAAAAAAAAAAATTCTCAAAAATTAATTGCAAGGGATATTTCCGATAATGCTTCAAATATTGACATTGCTTTAAAACTTTCTGGTAGTGACATCACGATAATGTCATCAAGTGTCAGATAACAAGCAAAAAAAAATTTTAACAAATGTAATCTTTGAAAATCAATATAAAATCGGAAAGAATTATGTTGTAACCTGACGCTACTTCAGCGGTTGAGCACAAAGTCTACAGTCAAGAACATGTTTACTTCCTAACAACACTGTTTCTCAGTCCCAGATGCATGTCTTATCATAATTTCTGCAATGACTGACCTTCATTGAAAAAAAGTGGCGTCAGGTTGCAACATTCTTTCCATAAAAGGAAATCTTGATATTTGTGGGAATGGATTGAGTAATCCAGGGTCTTTATTTTTTTATACATGTATTACTTGCATATAATCATGTGAACCTCACATCTGGTCCAAATGGTGAGTGCCTTAAATTCAAAACTTTAAACTCCTTCGTGACAAACATGCCAAAAAAGAGCGTGTATTTGTCCAGTACGAAAAAAACCCTGCTAATTAAACAAAGTCAACCACACAAACATGAAAACTTTGTTCTGACAGGTAACACTCTATATTTATTATTTACTTTATCGTTGTGCAATAATAAAAACAAAATCCATTGACCCGTAAAATGTCACAGGAAAGTGCAAGATTAATTGCTTTTGCTGTAACTGCCAGAAATGGATGAATTTGGGAGATAACTTAAAGCATTTATGACCTGTTTGACATTTTGGAAAATAAAAGTGTCATCCCCCTTAGTTATTATGCGAGACTTTCAGTGCAATTTTAACAAGTACTTTCAACATTGACAGTAGATTGGAATCCCTTACGCTTAATAACAATTTCAAGTATTCTGAATGGAGCTTATATGGAATGCTGAAATCCCTGACTGAAATCACCCCTTCTCGGTTTTAATTGATTTAATAAAGTCTTATAAAAAAATGCTGCATTGGACAATTAGTGTATGATCTTGTCTCTCATAAAAAAAAATTGTAGTTGCGATAATAAGTGCTGACTTGTTACAATGAGACTTATAAATGGCCAAATGAGTTACAATTAGGGTTTTCACAAGCAAAGTTTAAGAAACACCCAGTACAATACACACACAAAAACTAGAGAGTGGCATCTGTTGAGATACTGTTACGTCACAGTATTAGAGATCCAAAGATGAATATTGTAATGGTATCATTATTTGGACTACGAAGATATGACAAAGATAAAAAAAAAAAATCAGAATGACTTGGCCTAAAAAGAAAACGATTTCTTGCATTTGCTGGCTGATTAAATCGCTCTTTGCGCGGCATTGTTGATTTTTCGAATTTTTATTTTCGTTTCAGAACGCTTTATAAAGTTACTAAGTATGCTCAACAAAAATGTTTGACGATGGAACACCGCGTGCACATGTGTTGTAACTATCAAACATTAACATCAAAGCTTATTCTGTATCGTGCATTCACTTAGAAATAGAAAGTCGGTTGATCGTGACTGCATGTTAGATCTGACGTATGTACTCCAGCTGGTAAGTGTGTTTACGAATACAAACATTTATTTTTGCGGCGGGGGTGCCGCTGCTTGAAGTATCGGCACACTCCAGGAATGGACTGGTTCTAGTTTGTGATATTGTGTACAGTGGGAATTGCAAAACCAGATTCAGTTAGTGCAGTACATCGTTTAATTGGCTTCGTGCATGTGTACGTCAATTCAGCAGATTTTATCTAGTATAATCTACACTCACAGCAGCTTTGAACAAGCATTTTTTTCAGCTGTGCCAAAATGGTCGAAACCCGTTTTTATGGGGGAAAAAATGTACGTTCGTATTTTCAACAAATTCCCGAACGAAATACGGCAGAGTCGTACTAGTTGGCAGGTCTGCTTAAGGCAACATTCTCCCTGTTGCTGTGCAATCTGCACAGTAATACCTGTCCAGGTGTAAATTAACATTACTTAAATCTACACATTCAAAGTGAAACCACAGATCACAGTTGTCGCACTGTATCCACTGCAAAGTTCTTGTCTTTGGCTGACAGCAGGTGGAACATGCACATCTCCCATCTGCCGCAGTTATGGTGTTGTGCACAATGCAGTCCTTGATGTACCTTCTGTACATCGGTACATGTTGCTGGCGCATGATCACTTGAGGTTTCTTGGCCAGAATTGCTTCCGCATACTGAACAAAAAGTTAAAAGGAAAGAAAATCTGGTAAGAATCCAAGTTGTGCATAGTTAGCGGAGCAACAAGAGTGAGTGTGTAACTGCACCATGCAACAAAACTTTTTGTGATATTTGAAAACTGCCAACAATAAGCTGGATATAGCTGAAATGTAAGGAGCAAATCACCTGACCAAAAAGTATGAAAGTCTGAGGACCAGGTAAAATTGCATAGTCTTCTGGCCACTTATATAGCTACCATCAAAATGAAAACATCACAGCTGCTGTTTTCATGCTGCAGGCTGATGGGATAAGTCACCTGCTTCCAATCATTCAGCTTCTCAGTACACTCATCCGATCTGTGCCGCATAAACCTCCTGTGTAAACAAAATATAATATGAACATTGAAAATGTAATACCATTTTTTCACTGTTACAATGTTCATTTACAACGTTCAGTACCGCGTTTGTACTGGTGTAGTGAACGAACCTTTCTACTAATAGCCAAGCATACCATTCCTTTATGAAAAGCATTAGCTTCATCATACATCAAGCTTTCAGTTCTTCTGTATACATTGACAGGAGGCCTGCATCGACACACTCCAGATCTACCATGCAAGTCTTCCTAGTTTTGTTTCGACTACTTTAGTTATCTTAATTATTCGTGAGTTGTTGCTTCACCACTGTAGCGAACCAGGTTGGCAGTGAAATGCAGTAATAATAGGTGAGCCACGGTGACGCTCCGTTTACTCAATTTAATTTTTTTGGCAGTCTTTTTTTTCTTTTTCTTTACTTCGTGTGAAACAAATATCAACGTCATATATATTTCAAAGGTAAAAATACTGTCCAAAGTATTTAAACAGTTTTTAGACAAAAGTCTGTTAATAATTATTTGTATTGTCAAAGTTATAGCCAGAGAAAACATTTCATTTAGTGTTTACTTAAATATTATAAGCACCCCTCACTGGAAACATTTAAGCATATAGTTACCTCCAGCATTCCAGGTAGAATTCAATATTTTGTGTTGCTCCTGTGGGGTTCAACACTGCTATAGTCTGCTCCCGAGGATTCGCCACCATCAACATCCAGTGTTGATTGTCCACATTGATGGGCAGAAGAACCCAATCAAAGGTTGTGAATCTTTTCTGTGTTTTTTTTCAATCCAGAAAAAGAAAGATGAACATGAAAATATTGTACACTGCAACCTGCAGCCCTAGCTTTATCCTATGATGTATATGACCTCTCATTGAAATACTTTTGGGCAAAATACAAGACTTGTGAGTGTGACTGCCCGATGACTTGAAATCTTGTAAAATGTCCGACATAATGTTTGCACTGTAGCCCCTCTCTATTGACGCTCCTTCAATTTTCATTACCTTCGTGAAAAGCCACTCAAAGTTGTCATTAGCCCATTTGTCGGCACAGAAGCACTGCATTATGTATGCCCGGGGATGCCTTTGGGAACAGATTTCCAAGAATCCATGGATAATCTGCAGAGTTATAATTAGAAAGACAAAATCTCAACAGTGCCTTAATATAGGCTTATTAAGTCACTGAAACAATTCACTAACCTTACAAGTATTAGCACTTGAACTCCATGACAACAGAGAATGGTGTGTCATTACATGGAGCTACATCCATGGTCATCCTATGATCAATGTACACACTGATACATCACAATGTCACATTACTTGTGTACAATGAATTCTTTTTAGCCACGTTGAAAAACCTCAATAAAATTAATACTCCTACTGAGGGAAAGTAACGCACCCCACAAATTGATCAAATGACAAATCTTTAGGCATGGACACACACACAACCTCATGAAAATATGGGATGAAGTATGCTGCTGGTGGTAGTGGGGGGATCATTTGACTAGTGCATTATGGATGTATATAAGTAAGCTTTCAAATCGAATAAAACATAGAAGGGTAATTATACAAAGAAAACAATTATCGCAAGAAAGAAAAGCTTATTCAGCTAGCAAGACATTGCTTTACGTGCATTATACATGTTTGCTAATGATGAGAGCCCCATCCCCATGATGAGCGTATAGTGCAAATCAACACAAGAGTAGACTACGTATACTGGGCATTCTTTCTTTTGTGTGCACTGCACACGAGTTACTGACCTACAGGGTCTTGGATGATCACCCTAACAAAACAAAATATGAAATTTAATGTTGTTGATGATATGTATCAGTGGCTCCTATGTGGTAAAAGGATTGGAGTTATTCTTAAACTTTAATATCATATTTTGTGGAAAGCACTTGCAGCAAAAGTATGCAAATCAATTGGGTCACTTTACTAATATTTACATGCTTACGTTCGATTGACCCTACTTTCCTACATGAATTCCTTCGATATGAACTGTACACACAGCACACAGCAGTAATTATGATAGAAAAAATACAAAGTTGAGATGTTTGTACCCACCATGAGTTCTTCCTCCCTTGCATTGAGCTTCCTCCTCTTTTCACTTCTGTGGAAGTCCGGCCCAAACATGCAACAGAGTGTGTTCCATGATTTGATCACGAATGGTACATCATCATCTGGAACTGTGTCATTCCAGTCTCTAAACCGGATCTTGTAATTGCTCTTGATGCCTTTTGAGAAAAAAACATAGGATGATGAAATGTTTGAAATTAGTAATGATGGAGGCAGGGGTTACCTGCCCCCCCCCCCCTCGATTTCCCAGGCCAAAACATTCCCATCTTGAATGTGCCCCTTAGCCCTATTTCAGATGAGTACAAAGTGGCTCTTTGATTTGTTTTGATATTTTGTTTTTCTGTAACCATTTCCATAAATGACATTGAGTTCTAACATAAACGAGGAGTTCAATAACCAAGGCCCAAAGCTTTACAGTGTGCCCTGAAAAAAAAGGCCCAGAGAACGCGGTTTGGAAGAGCGCGCCCCGTATTCCTGGAAATGGTTTTGAAGAGGGCCCCCCTATTTTAGAAAATGGTAACAGCCCCCCCCCCCTCTCCCCGACAAAGAGTCGTTGGATCTCAGCTCGAAATTTGTTAAAACGTAAAACAAAATGGCGGTTGTGCGATGCAAATTTCGAAGGAAAACAAGCTCTCAGTGGACTGTATAGCTACTTTGACATTTCAACTGCAATATTCCAGTCTAATTCATAATTATTCAATGAATCTTTTATTTACAACTTTACACACATTGCCTCAGTATTATAATCTCGTGTACATGTATGTAATGTTGATGGCATAAAACTGGCTTAGAAAATGAATCTTCTTATTTTGTGATGACCACTAGACACGTCATAACTTGCGACGTGTTTTAAGCCATTGTCAAGGAACTTATGACGCGTTCAACACATCGCAACTTTCGTGAAATGGATGGTAAGACGCGTCGCAAGTTGCGACATGTTACAGTCGTAACTTGAGTTGCGACGCGTCGCAGCGCTTTGTGAAATCGGATGCTGCAGCTGCTCCCCCCTGCAAATATTCCTGGATACGCCCCTGACCAGGCATTTGAACTTTGTAGATATAGAATGCAGGGCCACGCTAGAAATCCAAAGTTGTACCCATTATTATTTTTTCAACACTTGTGCAGAGTTTCTACCTTTTAAAAAATTCTTTTTGAGAAAAAAATATTGAGAAAATAGCGTTTATTAGGCCTACATCATTACATTTACATGTAGTCCTAGGCATACTGTACTAGCATTAAACATTAAACATGTTGTTAAATGCATGGTCATGATGGTCAGGTTGCAAAATAATATTAATAATAACAGCAATAAGAAACTCGTTTACACTGTTGATTTTGAGTTTTTTATAGGCCCTATGCCTGGGGTTAGGCCTGATTTCTTCTATACTTAGTATAATAATAATTAACTAACTAGGCCCAGCATTTGCCCAGTACTCAGAAGGCCTAGGCCGACGGCCGACCTACCCATATTCGCATCTCCAACAGCATCCTGTCCGAAGTTTGGTTTCTTTTTATGACAAATAAACGTCAAAGAAGTATGGCGTTCGAATTCCTTACGAAGCCCTTCTGCCTCTGCCAGAGTAGAAACCCAGCCAGACAGACCGTCCTGAGAAAGAGGAGTCCACAGATTCGACCACGGAGGCGGATTATTTTAAGGACTATTGTCCGAATTATCCGGCACAACCGTAAACGCCATGATTGCATTTTTTGACGTCAGCATTTAATTCTCGCGCGCCAAAAAAAGTAGGGGCGGTACCATTACGCTATGCATATTCAAGACCATATCCAATATGCATGCCGTCTGATGACGATGTCATTTTGGTTGTTCTCGAACAGTGCCTTCCGAGCTTCCCAGCCACACAGGGAACGCAGCCGTGTGAAAGCAAGGTCGGTACACGTACGTCCACCGCTATTCACCGTAAAGGTGTATACCATAGCAGGAATGCCGACACCTCTTCCGATACTTTGGCACGCTCAACCACCTTGGCTGATGCTACTCCCAACGCACGGCTTACTTATGTTCTCCGCTACAACGGGGAACTACACGCTACCGGGTCAAGTGCACACAGCTCGCCGGCAACAACCTAGCGATCTCGGCTCCCTAGTAAGCGCTACCCACGGCATAAAGCCGATCCTAGTAAACCACACACACAAACCACAAACTCTACAAAGTTCGTGCTTACCTCTTCACCACACGTTTCGCCCACACAGTACAGACGACTGACTGTTGACTCACGAACTGCCATTACCGCACTGTACTGACCGTCTAACCACGTGTGTACGTCTCCACAGCACACAGAACAATGCTGGGCGACGCGCAGCCAATCACATCTCTGCGCGCAGTCACGTACACTAATGCTCCACGCCGTGACATGCCAACACATGTACGTATAATAAGCGTATTGTAGAATGTACATACAGTGTACGTGTGCGCATTGTTATACGGCACTGAGTGGAACGCGTGCTGAAGTGTACCTTGCCGTGCTTCTCTGGAAAGATGCAACTCAGTGATTTTTGTGATTTTTTTTTTATGGATACCGACTAAAAGCAATTCTGACTTGAGTCAAGTCTAGCAATTCCCATGAGAATAATGAGAGGCTAATCTAACGGCACAACTTTACAATTAACGCAAACCTACTCACTATAGCAGAAAATAGCGTGAAATCCAAACCGTGCAGTAAAACAGAGGCGGATCTAGCTTTGACTGGGGGGGGGGTAGATGTCAAGTTGGGGAGAGGGGTCTGCATTTTTTTTTAATTATTTGCGGCTGGGGGCGGAGGGAGTGGGGGCACCTAGATCCGCCACTGTCAAACCAAGTTGTTTGTTTCACGCTCGCTATTTGAGAGCTGTGAAAATGACTTTTAATGTCTACGGAGATTGCACAGTTTCAGCAGGTGACTTAATTGCAACACCTGACCATCAATGGAATGTCATTGGCAAAGAAAGTTCGTTTTTTTTTCACTGGTCATCCAGCCTCCATAAAATCAAAAAGCGCAAGAGGCGGGATGGGGCTTGTTTGCTTTAGGATACCTATAAAGGTATTCTGTTTAATTAACCTGTTGTATTTATTAATTACCCAATACCACAAAAAAGGTTGCATTTACTTTCAGCAAAATCATACTTTCTTTTATATGTTTGGCCAAATGTGGCAAATAAAAACTTTTTTGCAAACTTAAAAAAAAAATTAAAATACGACATTGCTTTGAAAAAGAATATTCCATTAAAATACTGTCCTATAGGCCCTACAGTTGATACAATAAAAATCGTTGTGAACAAACTTAACGCATACTTTTCACTATATCTCAATACTCATGCATACTTTTCACTATATCTCAATACTTATGCATAAAGCTAAATATATTTTTTTTTTTGCAAAAAGTAAAAAAAACACAAATCTATTGTAATATGCAAAAACATTAATAATATGTTATTTTTTTGTGACTTTATCATTGAACATTATTTGTTTTAACTAATTGGTTATTGTTTCGGCAAAATGGAAAGTAATTCAACTAATCAGCAACAAGATGCGCGTGTCTTTATGTGTTAGATTTGTTTTGTTTATTCGGGGTAAAGGAGAAAGCCACTGAATGAGGTGAAGTGATGGGAACCACCATTTGCCTTACCGCCAAAGGTGAGATATATCCTATCTCCACGCTGCAGAACCACCACCGCGCTTGCAGACACCTGCTCCCAGTGACTTGAATCAGTGCTTTGGCCAGAGACAATCCGTTCGCCGTTCTTCCGGAGATAAATGAACAGGTGGATGCTGGAAGAATGTTTGAGCACAGAAAACATGAACACGTAGGTGCCCGGCACTCCACACGTGAACGTGCCGGTCTCGAGTTCGAAACTGGTACCCGGCAGAAGCGTTTCGGTCTCCTGGAAGGGCAAACGGGTGTCGAAACGCGTAGAGGTAAACGACTCGGTCGTCCTCACCACGGTGAATGCTACCCGCTGGTCGGGTTGTGTCTCCCCTGGCTCACCCTTTTGACCTTTGACACCAGTCCGACCGGTTGTCCCGACTGAACCTTTAGGCCCAGTGTCACCTTGAGGGCCAATCGGTCCGATTAGCCCTGGCAGGCCTCTACCGTCGTCACCCGGCTCTCCTTTTTGACCTGCATCACCTTTTGACCCTTGTAAAATTCCTACAATTGCCGCTGTTTCCTGGCAGCACGTTTGGCCCGCCCGAGTTGCAGGACCATCACCGTCCGAGGGAACCGGCCCAGTAAGGGAAGCTCGGAGGTTGACGGAGTTACCCAGAAGGAGGGCGATTGAAAGAACGGTTGCCACGCAGATCTTCATTCTGTACAGAAGAACAATAAAAAAAAAACAATTCCGGTGATTTTGTTTTAAATTAAATATTTTTTTTTTTAAATAGGGAAGAGTAGAGAAAAATATTGAGTTCCGATAAACTGGAGAACTAGTCTAAAACAAGTGACAATCCGCCGCCAGATTAAAAAAAAAACACCAAAAAAAATGAGATTGGATAAATCATTGTTCAAAAAATGTTTTCTTTGTGATATAACAGTGGCGTATGAGGGGCAAGGGGCCGATAAAAGTAAGGAAAGGTCACCGAATTGCAAAAAGCGTTCTGGAACTGTAGTATTTTTTTGTTTTTTTTGGGGGGAGGGGGGAGATGGAAGCGAAGCACAACTGCCCCTTCCCCGGTCCTGATAGAATCATTAATTAATGTCACCACACCCACCTCGATGATTCGTTCTTGAAAATCAGGTCAAAGAAGAGATCACAAGGAGTTTAATGTAGGCTGAGAAAAAAACATACACACGAAGACTGATTACGTTTATACTTATAGTATTAAGGAATAATAAGGAATAATTAAGCTAACATTGCATTTTTTTTTCTCATTTGGATAAATTGCCATCCAAAAACAGTAAAAACAACTCGCCAATTAATAAGGGTCAAATTATTAAAATAATAGGTATTCCCGTCGAATTCGTCAATAAAAACAACCTGTTTTATTGTGGTATTGTTCAATTTCTCGTGACTTGACTGATTCTTGAAATTAGCATTCAATTGTCTTAACGTTATTGTTGTTGTTTTTATTTCAAACTTATTTTGTAAAGGTAAGTTTCTATTTTTGAAACACTATAGTAACTAGGTCAAAAGTTTGTTGGCATTCTAAGCATTTGTTACACTTTTCCAGGCACATTTACTTTTAACGCCAGTTTGCTATGAGTTTTAAAGCAGCATTGAAATTCTTCATTCACTACGAAATATTGTAGGTTTGCCAACCCAATTTCACACTTTGCTAATTCAATAATAAAACATTTTCATTCAAATACGCATAAATCAGGCAAACGTTTTCACACCCGGTTAAATTTAGCGACAGTTCAAAATATTTCAGGGTGTTCTTTATTCACGCGTGAAAAGTAGGCAGCAAATTACGTCACTTGTGCATTGAATTTCTTGTGCTTTGAATTTCGTTCTTGCTCGGGAATTCAATTTGATGCATACGTTTACAAAAGTAACACAGTTCAATGATATTTGGAAGTTGCATTAGCAAGATAATGTGTTATCGTGATACAACAGAGGATAAAATGACACGGCTTTTGAAAAGTTAGGATTAAGGAATGTACAGCTATTTCAAAGATTGGAATGCCTGGGAAGGGAATATGAAAAAAAAAAGCAGAACATGACTGCATCAATGCAAAGTGTCAAATTCATAGAAGGAAATACACGTGGAACACTCGCCGATAAAATACAATGTAAAAATACAGATTTTTATGTGAGGACAATTGACCTGTTTGTTGCAATGACTTGGTGGAAATAAAATAAAAAAGTATATTGAGTTTCATATAAGTTAATTTTTATGTAGCCAATACGATTGACGTTTAGCGAATTAAGTGGACTCCTTATTCCATTGCACTTTCGTTGAAAATTAATATTTTCTCTTGCAAATTCGCCTATAATAAGTGCAAAATAGAAAACTAACCAAACCAAATGGATTTTTGCAGTTTTGGGGGTGTATATTCCAACAAAATCAAATGCTCTAATTGCGTCCTTTTGAAATGTAATGAACAATCTCTCCGATTGAATGAACAAGTTGCGAAAACCTATGTTATGATTCCCTAATGTGATAAACAATCACAAACGAATTACAAGGTGATCAACGATGAAAAAATTATTAGGACAATGGTTGTGAACACAATTTTGATTTTACAAAATGCAAAAACGATTAACAAGGATACAAAAAGAAGATAAATGACAAAGAATCTGATTACACAACAACCAAATATTGATAAGATCAATATTTTGTTCATCTTAGTTCTAATTTTATGACAAACTGGTGTACGTCCATAAAACTGTAAAGGAAATTTGAGCGTGTGTCCGCTATCAGTTCGAGGCACTCTGATGAACTTGAGGAGGAATTTGCAAAGACTGCAGGCCAAAATGTCAGAATTAGTTCTACGGTTCGTGTTAGGTGAGGGAACTCCTCACTTCTCTAAATACCTTGTCACTCGAGCGATGTTTTCTGGTATAATTGTGACCAAAAGATGTATAAATATATTTTAAAAAAATACAGTCTCCCACCAAAATTACTTCTCTGTTCTGATGGTTGAGTGGGGAAAATGTCAAATAACATACATTCACCTTGATGTAACGTTCTTGAATTCTATCACGAAGGGAATCCTCAGCACTCAGCAGATTGCGAGCTGGAAATAATACCAACGAAAATGAATCATTGAAAATCCGCTCGGAGTTTATCTTGGCGGCTGCTGGGGGAGGCATAGCTGAATTTAACAAGTGAAACAACCCCGGAACAAAATCTCTGTCAGGCGAAGTACGATCTAGATTGATTATTTATTTCACGCGGAATGCGTCCTGCATGCAGCGGCCCTGACTAGACCCACGCACGAGCAACATTCTTGTCTTCTTTGAAGGATTTATTATTTTCGAATCAAATGCAGTAACCACCCCCCAAAACAACAACCTAAGATTTTCTTAGAGAAAACATTATGCAAAAGACAGAAATCTTGCAATGCTGAGAGTGAAGATAAGACAGGTATCAAATACCCAGTAAGGTTGTTTCGCCTGATATATCGTTTAAAAACTTTGAAGGTGTTTTTAAAATTTTAAAAAAGTCATGTTGTTATAAAGCAACGGAATCACGTTACGAGGTCCAACAAAATAGTGCATACGTTTTCTCTGCTTTTTCTCAATGATAGTATCCACTGAGCTGAAACTTCAACAGGTTAGTTGCGACCTTCTTAAGTTTTTAAGCCAAATTGTGT